CAAGATGTGTGATTTTGTGTCTGAGTGGTGTCAAGATGTGTGATTTTGTATCTGAGTGGTGTCAAGATATGTGATTTTGTATCTGTGTGGTGTCAAGATGTGTGATTTTGTATCTGTGTGGTGTCAAGATGTGTGATTTTGTGTCTGAGTGGTGTCAAGATGTGTGATTTTGTGTGTCTGAGTGGTGTCAAGATGTGTGATTTTGTGTGTCTCAGTGGTGTCAAGATGTGTGATTTTGTATCTGTGTGGTGTCAAGATGTGTGATTTTGTGTCTGAATGATGCTATATATTAGTTACTGATGATGGTGGCCAATTGTGAAGCTAGAATAAGCAATAACTAGTTATCATTTCATTGTTATTCAAGGAAAACACTTGACATACAAAAATATTAAAAAATGTTTTTGTGATATCCAACTCATGATTCTTATTTTTTTTTTTTTAATTTTAGCTAGAAGTTTAAGAAATGAAAAAATAGGTAAATTATTTCATAAAGACGTAAAAGCAAAAGTTTTTGAAGGTATCAAAAAAGACATTTTTTTTTTTTGGTTATAAAAATTAAAGAAGATTTACATGTTTAATATATTTCAGCCATATTTCCAGGGTTATGGCCCCTCACTCTTGATTCCTTCATTAGAAAATTTCATGCAGTTCTGATTTAGCTTAACATCTGCCAAATTGTTGTCTGAATCAGTTCAAATCCTAGTATGGAAAATGCCAAAGGCACATAAGATGATGCCCGTAGCATATTGTCTCTGATGGATGAAATGTAAACCTTATTGGTAAAAGATATGGTGGATTAACTGTCAAATTCAATACCGCTTTATGTTGTCAGAAACAGATTTCATGGTTCAGTAGTAATGTAAATGATGTTTTAAGTAATAGCAATAATCAGATCTCTTTGAAACTTGGATTGTCAATATCTGGGAGATTCTGATCTTCAGAAATTAGAAAGGAATGCTTCAATGCCATTACTAGACACTGACTTAGAGAAACAGAAATGGAGGTTAGGCATTCTGCCAACATTAAGTACAATTTGTTGAAAAAGAATAAATATTCATGGAACATTTAATATTGTTAGACTTCAGTATGTAAGTATCTGTTATTGAAATTAAAGAAACAACTTTGTTTGTTGTGTGGAAAAGAATGTCTGCATATTGATTATAAGAGGTGATGGTACGATTGCATTGAAATACTTCATTATTTGAAAACTTTTTAAACGTAAGCCCGCTTTAATTCAGATTTTATTCATGTATAAGTTGTCCACCAGCGTTCTATTAGAAAGAGTTTATGTTCACCCTCACTTCCATTCAATCACATGGCTAAATCAAAATGTTGACTTTTTAAAACAAACACTCAACATGATTTCTGTGGATTCGATTGTTAACTGATTTTACAGTTGTCACAGTGATCTCATTTAGAAATATTTCTTTGTGCAATATGAAGATGGACATGCTTGATGCTTGTTAGTAAATAATTTGCCTGTTGGTTCTGTTGTTGTATCATACCTTGTTCTCATTTGAGAATGTAACATTACTAACATGGATTGAAATGGCGAATGTGCTCAATGAAGCAAAAGACGTTTACTCTTCCGAAACACCTGGTCTTGTTCTTCTTGTACTTTTTCAGGATTAGGATTATGTTGACATGTTTGTTTTTCCTTGTTGTTATCTTTAAGACAATTTTGTTGATGATGTTTTCTTGTACAGTGAGTTAAAGCCTAGAGAACCAACACAAAAACACGATATAATTGATACAGCGAAGTGGGCTTATTACTGGGCACTGATAAAACATTTGCTGCCATATAACTAAAACTGTAATAGATGTTGATGACCTATTTGCCATTCTCGCACATCAATGACCAAGTGTTATACAAAGGGTAACCAAATTGACTACAGTATACTGTCACCATCTTGTGTATATTTGGTTGGTATACCCTATACATCTTGTCACACCATTTTCTACCACAGTGTTCATAGGATTATAAATACCAGTAGTACAGCCGAAAAAGCTGGTAAATTCCTTAACATCTTTTACACTACATACATCAGTGCTAGTATGCTCCACACTGGTCATTCATCTGATGAAGATGTCCATGAAGTCATGAAATGTCTTCTACTGGTCGTGTTATAAGAACTTCTATTCTATTGACATTACCAATCTGATAAAAATGTTCTGAAATGATCTTTTTACCAGTGATGTGTTCACTGTGACTAAATACCTGTAATATAGCTGTGAGTTTGATTGTTGTGGAATATTTTGTTTGATACTAGGGGCAGATGTGAAGGGGTTTGCTGGGATGTAGCCATTTTATAAGGTCTTTTCTAACAAAATGTGGAGAACTGATCATTCAGATATAATTAAGGTAAAGACTTCAGCAGAAAAAAAAATCAGTAGAATAGTTGGTTTTGATGACATGTTGCATTTGAGAATTTAAGATCTGGCATGTCTTTGATTAAATTTTACTCATTATATCAGGGGAGGTAATCCCCTGTGTTTATTTGGCTGCTACTATTTAATTATCAACAACTCACCACTGAAGTCTATGCAAGATCCGTAGCTACTTAATGGCAGCAAACAAAAGAAGGAAAATAATTTTCGTAAAAGTAAATCTTTAAAATCTCTCTGAGAAAGATCAGAGAAATTGTCTTGATGTTAAAGACAGAAATTAGACATTATAATCAGAATGAATTTGTTCATCAGCTGAAATTCACTCTGCATTATCTATAATCAATGGGACCCACAGATATGTCCTTGAAATTGGTGATATTGATTTTTCTTTAAAGTAAAAGTTAATTCCCATGCTCTTGAAGACAAGATGTTAAAAGGGAATTAAGATATAGAAGGGTTTTACAGGAACATAATCGGATACTTAATGTTATTCTCGGTGAGAAATACTTTTGTATGATATATTAATCTGACAAATCTTTAACAGTATATTTAGACCAGAGTGAAACATTAAGGAGATGTGATCATGAGTCAAGAGGAGATCAATATTGTATTATAACTGATGTGCCGCCTCCCCCTCATGCCCCTCGTCTTTGAGGTTATAGAGTGGTGCCAATTAAAACACTGGAACTTAGAATGAGTTGTAACATATGATGAGCTGATTCTCCTCAGAAATAAATTTGAAATGAAGTTGATTGAAGAGCAAACTCTTTTTAATAAAGTTTTATTATAAATTTTCTGTTTTATCTTCAGCACAGATTATGGAGCTTCATGAATAAATTTTACTTTTCTGACTTTACAGACAGTTTGAATCAAATGAAAATTGTACAGCTTCTTTTAGCTGCGAAGCCACAGAACAAGAGACATATTTTTTGTACTACTTATTTAAGGTAGATATTGACTGCAAGGAAAGAGAGATGGACGGGGGTGAGGGTTTGAATTAATTAAAGGTTTCTATTTCGGACAAAAAAAGTTTTTGACTTGTAATATCTGTAGCTTGCATTGGCGCCAATATTTCTAGCTGTACAAATATATATAATACCAATGTGGATTAACATTGGCCAAATTATACCAGCCCGCAGGACAAGCATATGAATTATTAAATATTACTTTGCATTTGATCCATGTTAGGGGAGTTATTGGCCACAAGGCAATATATTTCTGTGTTCTGTTTGGACTGTAGGTAGCTAAAGTACATGTTTGATCTTGAAACCTATTGTCAGATGGATCTCATGCCTCTGGTCCTTTCGGTAGACTCCTTTGCATGTGGTACTGTGGTGTAACATCATTTTTTGGTAACAATATTCTAGACATGGTTTTCAAGTTAAGATAAAGTATTGTCTACTGAACCGAGCCTTCATTTTATATATATATAAAGTAAGCTCAGCATTGTTAAGGCTGAATTACTGTGATTAGATTTTGGTATGATATAGATATAGGAGGGCCACATTAAGTAATTTATATGTACAGATTCTATAATGGTTTTATAGAGAGATGCTACTGTACCTTTGCAGTAAGCCTCTACTACAATGTACACCTTGCCGTAATTTCATCTTAAATTGTCTCACACAGGTAATTTCCAATTCCACAGGGCCTATTACTTTGGCTACAGTGTTCACCAACCTAAAAAAAAATTCAAATAAATTCAAAACTGCATATACTTAACACTCAGGATTACTAGGTAAAGATTGAATTAATATGTCTTTTCATTACTTGTGTTATCAACCCTAATTGATATTTTGTAAGTTCCTCATATTAATTCTTGTATTACTTAGGTAAGAGGAATTGATGTAGTATTATCCAGTAAGTTGCCATGGTGACAGTTCTGATGAATTATACGGAAATTAATATTGCAAAATAATAATCATTTTCACCCTCATGTTTCAATTATTCACTGTTAAAATGATGGATTCACCATTCCTTTATCTTGGGCAGTCTTCAAGCTTCCTTAGTGGTTTGAAATAACAGGAAATGACACGAAACTCTCTACTAACCATCCAAGTCACTTCAGGCTAACATGTCATTCAAATCACATGGAATCTTAAAGGTTCCTACTTCGAAAGTCAGCAGGGGTAGAAAGAAGAAAATAAACTTAAATTACCTGTAATTGAATCTATTGTGATGGCTTTGTTTGAAATGTATTTGAAAGTCAGCCTTTCAGTGCAGCATAGCTACTTGCAGAAAAAAGATTGGAGCCAGCATGACCTGTGACTGTGTTTATGTAATTGGTTTTATTTGGAAATTTGTCTCTGTAATTAGAGCTGGATTTTAGTGGAAGGAAAGAGTGTTTGGAACATATTGATTCAGACTTTTCGATGGACAGGAAATTTCTCACCAGAGAAATCCTATATATCATGCTCTATGTATGCTAACTGTTTATGTCTATATCTCTCAGGCTGTGCTCATCATTTGTTCATTTTCAGATCAGCTGACTTTGGGGAGTGCAGCGGAGTTTGAAATTTAGCTTGACTGTGGTTTGCACATCTTCCCACATATCACTTGTCGGGGAGATTTGTTGACATTATATATTGATTTTTGTCTCTCATGATTTCCAGGGTACTCAGACTGAGGCAAAGAAACTAAAGGAGTTAGAGGTAACTAATGAAGCTTTGGAAAAAGAGATCGCCAGGCTTGAAAAGGCAAAATCTGAAACAGAACGTCTGGTAAGTAGGAATAAAGTATGGCTGGTCATGTCTGGTCGTTGTGGCGATAATTACATTAGTCTATTTATGTTAAATGATATCTATTGGTAGTAGTTAGTGAAGGACAAGGTCATTGGGGAGTCTATAATCTGTTTGACTGTCTGTCCACAACTGTCCATCACTGCCATTTCATTAAAGCAAGTGTATTTAAGCTTTCCTCATGCTAAAATGTGAAGGTTTTACTGGACAAATGTTAAAGATTTTATAGAACAAATGGTAACAATATAACAAAGTTTTACAAGAACAAAAGGCGGCAGTATAGCCAGGTTTTCATTGGAAAAAATGGTGGCAATTTAACAAGGTTTTACTGAAAAAATGTGGCAGTTTAACAAGGTTTTACTGAAAAAATGTAGCAGTTTAACAAGGTTTTACTGAAAAAATGTAGCAGTTTAACAAGGTTTTACTGAAAAAATGTAGCAGTTTAACAAGGTTTTACTGAAAAAATGTAGCAGTTTAACAAGGTTTTACAGAACAAATGATGGCAGTGTAACAGGAATTTAGAGGACAAATGTGGGCAATGTAAGAAAGTTTTACAGGGTAAATGGTGGCAGTGTAGCATGGTTTAAAAGGACAAATGGTGGCAGTGTAACAAGGTTTTAGAGGACAAATGGAGGCAGTGTAACAGGTTTTAGAGGGCAAATGGTGGCAGTGTAACAGGTTTTAGAGGACAAATGGTGGCAGTGTAACAAGGTTTTAGATGACAAATGGTGACAGTGTAACAAGATTTTAGATGACAAATGGTGGCAGTGTAACAGGTTTTAGAGGACAAATGGTGGCAGTGTAACAGGTTTTAGAGGACAAATGGTGGCAGTGTAACAAGGTTTTAGAGGACAAATGGTGGCAGTGTAACAAGGTTTTAGAGGACAAATGGTGGCAGTGTAACAGGTTTTAGAGGACAAATGGTGGCAGTGTAACAAGGTTTTAGAGGACAAATGGTGGCAGTGTAACAAGGTTTTAGAGGACAAATGGTGGCAGTGTAACAAGGTTTAAGAGGACAAATGGAGGCAGTGTAACAGGTTTCAGAGGACAAATGGAGGCAGTGAAACATGTTTTAGAGGACAATTTAGAGGGCAAATGGTGGCAGTGTAACAAGGTTTTAGAGGACAAATGGTGGCAGTGTAACAAGGTTTTAGAGGACAAATGGTGGCAGTGTAACAAGGTTTAAGAGGACAAATGGAGGCAGTGTAACAGGTTTCAGAGGACAAATGGAGGCAGTGAAACATGTTTTAGAGGACAATTTAGAGGGCAAATGGTGGCAGTGTAATAGGTTTTAGCAGATAAATGTTAGCAAGGTAACAAAGTTTTACAGGACAAATGATAACAGCAGTTTATACAATCTCAAGTTCCACTGCCAAGTGATGGAAAGATAACAAGGATTTATGAGACAATTGGTGATAAGACAGAGCCATTGTCGTTCATGAATGTCATGAATGAATAGAGAAGATATAGAATGAATAATGTCCAAATGTGTTTATAGCATATTGTCCTCTTTTGGTCTTTAATCTTTACACATTTACCAGCACTTACCATTAGGTTGACAAATTAGTGGAAATTAAAATATAAAATACCTGAATGCCATAACTCTAAAAGTTTAACATTTCTGTTTAAATGATTACACTCAAACTTTCAACTATAGCTTCTTCACAGGGAGCGCTAGCTCGATATTGCTTTTGATGGTTAGAGGTCAATGGTTAAGGTCACCATTACTATAAATAGAAATAAGAAAACACAACAAAAGTATACGTTATATCTGAAAGTTACTGCTAAATATTAAGGCATAATGATGAATAATTGACAGAAATCAAATGAGAAGTCACTTGACCACAGACCATTTTATCAGGTCAAGGTCAAATTTGAAATATTTCATAAATATTTCAGATCAAACGTCAAGCTCAGATATACTGATGAAATATTTTGTGATATACATAATTAGTACTCATCAAATGAGAAGTCGTTCAAATACAGAATAAAGGTGAAGGTCAAATATCTATGTTTATGTCAGAGGCAAATTATTGTGTTTATTAAGCAATAAACAATTTAGAGTCTGACACGTAGGAGGCCCTTCCTGACGTGTGTCAGTATTCCAGTTGTACTTGACAAATTGACCTGAAAATCTATTGGTTTTGACACCTAAAGTGAATAATACTGCACCAAAATAGTAATTATTTTCACCACACTCATAAAAGCCCCTTGATTTGGTACCTTCGTCTTAGTAATAGGAGGTGACTTACAGAACACAAGCAAGATGTCTGAATAGGATTGCTGCTGGCAACAGCCAATTCTCTCCTCAACAATCCCGTCTATTGATCGCATAATATTCTATACAAATTCTTCTCTGCAAGGTTCATTTGGTTTCTTGTCAGTTCTAGGACCATGTTTTTGGAGGCCAAAACAAAACCATACTGTATATATGTTACTGTAGGTTTCATATCTACAGATTGGTTCACAAGAATAGATTTGGTTTTATAGTTTGTAAACATAATTGCTATAGTAAAGATATCCGTGCCGTAGTCATTATGGTAAGGGCATAGAAATTTTTTTTCTCTGTCTTACTGTGTAAAATCATCAATTTTTGAGGAGATAGGAGGAAGAGGAAAGGGGATGGAGCTTTTAGTGTTGTTTAATTTAAGGTTACTGTTAATCCATATATTTATATGTCCATGAAATGGTATACAGATACAAATTGCTATGGATAATACTGCTAATGGATTCATGATTTATCCAAGAAATCATTTGCCAATAAAAAATATATATTTTTGTTAAACTTCAAAATTTCTATTAAATATGTCTGATGATACAATTCACACACAATCTCTGACCTTGATCATTCTTTAAACTCTGCTAATGCTGTGTAAAATAAAAAAAAAACATGTTAGTATTTGTGAATCAAGAATCAAATATATTCCCAGGAACAGGAAAGGTTGTATTTATGTGGGATCTTGAAGTAAGCAAATTCTGATATACCATAAATTTGTGACTATAATTGGCTTTTATCAGGAAAATAACCCTTATCAACCGTTAAATAAATTAATTGGTGGTAATTGTTTTACTGATACCCTGTTATTGAAGAAAAAATAAGATATATAAAATTGTTTTATGTATTTTATACATAAGTCTATAATATGGACACAACATATAGGATAAATGGCATCATCCATTTGTTTGTCATAACTTTGATTTATCTGATGATCTGTTCCCACAGTTGTCAACATGACCTCTTACAAACCTAGGTAGACGATCAACATTTTATAAAGTAATTTTTACTAAAAAGGATGAGTTTGATTCAATAACTTTTTGAAGAGTTAATGCCCTTTATCTTGTCTTTAGATCCTCTTAGTATTTTTTAACTAGTTTTACTTTCAGATGATGTGCTTGTATACTACAGTGAAATTTTGATGAAACAATGAATTTTGATACAAAAGTGTATTTTTTTTTTTGTATGAGTCAGGTGTATATTGTTCAGCCAGCTCTTCTTCTGTCATTTTTCTGTAAGTTAAGTAATAGACATCATGAATATCAGCATGATGTTTTTGAAATTTTCTCTGAAAGAAGTTTAATTACGATTAAGTGAAGTGCCTGTAACTAAAGGTAGTAACCATTTAATATCACTTGTGGTTTCTACCGGTTTATAAAACTTTCTTAATTGATTGATGTTTTAACAAAATCCAATAAAGATGACAACAGGATAATATCAATACACCCACTGATCAAGGAATCCTACAGCTATAACATAGAGATCACCAAAGGTGAGCTTGATTAAGACTTGCTTGGCACCAAAATTGGTCACTTGCTTAAGTCTAGTTGCAAGTGCTTTACTTGATCAGACCAGGGACTTTTCAAGGGGCTGGGACAGAATATGAGCCCCATTTCAAAATGAATTTATTTCGTAATTTGGCCAAATTTCCAAAATAAATAGTTCACTCCTCAAAATTTCTTTCCAAAATACGATAAAACCTCACCTAACGACCACCTAAAAATTATCACCACCCCGTTATTACAGGCACTTTTTTGAGTCCTGTTTTTTTACAATATATCTTTGTATTGGTCACTTCAGTATTATGACCATCCCGTTATTCTGTATAATGACCACTTCTTAACGGTAATTGATTACTATAGTAAATATACATGTATATTATGATATAAACTAAGGAATATATACATATATATATTTGTGTTAATTCACCAGTTTGATCTGTTTTGCATTCATTTCATAAAATTCAACATTTTATGTACAGTTTATCAAACTTTAAGTTATTGTTGTTGAATAATATACATGTACATTACATAGGATATATATAAAGTCTTTATTTTAAACAGAGTTATGTTTCTTTGCGGCCAATCTGATCCACCTCACTATTAAGACCACCTCGCTATTAAAACCACTTTTGTCCAGTCCCCAAAGTGGTCTTAATAGCAATGTTTCACTGTAAGATAAATGGCCCTTTCCCACTTGAGTGGGAAAAAGCTGTGTAAACATAATCCTGACAGGATACCCAGCATAGGACTTCACCCTTTATAGGGCTCAATAGGTCCAGATGTTATCACAACCTACAATTTTAGGGATCTGTATGTACTAACATTTAGGTACATGAACATTTCTTAGAAACTTTAACAGAAATGTAAGTTGTCATTTTAAGCCCACCAATCTATAGAGCAAATAAAATGAGCACTTCTGACGCTGTGTAACTACAGCCATCCATTCCCAGACGACCTATTACAGTCAAATGGAAGTTACATGTGATTGTGATTTGCCCTTTGTATCATGAAATTTTCCACATGGAATGCCATAAAACTGTAATGAAACGCCACTACTGATTCTGTTGTTAACAATGTCCCACTGGAAACATTTATTTTGTGTCTGAATTATGCTTTTATCACAATCACTTTTTTCTAACTAATTGTCTCTGAAAGAATTGTCTCTTAACATTTATTTATAGAATCTTTTTTTTTTTTCACAGGAAATAGAACTCGCACAGAAGAAAATTGAATGTGAAACATTAACAGAAGAAATACGTCTAGAAAGAGTCAAATCAAGCAATTTGGTAAGTTTATATCATATACATGTAGTGTGATGATACAGAACTGTTATTAGTATCTATACGGTACTGATAATAAACATCCTAACTTTGTATATATACATGTAGTGTGGTGATACAGAACTGTTATTAGTATCTATACGGTACTGATGATATACATTGTAAATGTTCCAGTAAAACTTTGGCTAGTATAAATATTTTATATGCTTATATTACAATTACTCTCAGTGATGGCCACTTTGGAAATTAATTTGTCAGGGGAAAGATTAGCTTCTATGCTGTTTCATTTATGATTTACTACTTTTGGCAGTATAATTGTATATTGATTTAAGTAATGACAGTTCTTTAACAACACACAACAGGAATATAGATGTTTGAAGTAAAGTTAAAATGGTTTCTATATGTCTGCAGTTCTGTAGTGTTGTTTTTAAGTTGTTTGAAGCTGGGACATAGAGGGATCCCCTTGTGCCTGTCGTTTTCTTGTCGTTTCCGTGAAGTTTGTTGCAATACAACATACTTGGAATCCTTTTGTTCTAACAGTTCATTGCCATCACCTGCAACATATAAGTACCCTTCCCCCACTTTTTGTTTGTTAGTTGTTATGGCCTGAAATGTGATATTTAGGGATTCCTTGTCATTACCTAAAGGGGAACTCACTATAGGGATCTCCTTGTCATTACCTAAAGGGGAACTCACTATAGGGATCTCCTTGTCATTACCTAAAGGGGAACTCACTATAGGGATCTCCTTGTCATTACCTAAAGGGGAACTCACTATAGGGATCTCCTTGTCATTACCTAAAGGGGAACTCACTATAGGGATCTCCTTGTCATTACCTAAAGGGGAACTCACTATAGGGATCTCCTTGTCATTACCTAAAGGGGAACTCACTATAGGGATCTCCTTGTCATTACCTAAAGGGGAACTCACTATAGGGATCTCCTTGTCATTACCTAAAGGGGAACTCACTATAGGGATCTCCTTGTGCTGGTAGATTTTAGTGGTTGTTACCTGAAATGGGACATAATTGTAATTTGTGGAGGACAAAGGTCAGAGTTTCTATTTCCTAAAACAGAATATTGATTTCTTTGCATTGACCTGATCTTGCCCTATCACAATGATCTTTGGACCAATCAAATCAGTCTTATTTTAATGTTTACTTATTGAAAATTATTGCTTTAACTAATGCTTCAGGTCAAAGGTCAATGTCTCTTACATTTCAAGTATGCATGCATCTCTCTCTTTATGATCTTATGACTTTTGGCTGCGCATGTTAAATCACTTCCCCGTAACATTTCTCATCATATAGTTATTGTTATACTAGTGTGTCAGGTCATGATGGTATAATTTTTCTTTCCCCATATTTATCAGTAAATAATTCTATCAAGTTTATTGTGAGGGATATTTTGAGTAAACTCCGTATAAATATAAACTTAGTTCACTGTGTTAAGGTGATGTAACCCCAAAGTTAAGGTTACGGTTTTACAAAGACTTTCATGATAGAAATGTGGTAATGTTTGTCAAAATTTGACAGAGTTGTGTAACTTCATGAAATCAGGTCAAGGTGAAATTCAAAGTCACAGAGGTCAAACTTTGTATCTTTTTTTTCTGTTAGATATTTGGTTATGCTATATTGATATACTGGGTAAATACTTTTACTGAAAGGTGAATTTATTTGATTCAAGGTCAGAGGTCAAATTGTTTAATAGATGCCATTTAAGATTATTCCCATGTGGTTTAAATTATTCCAACAACAAAAAATGGTAGGCTGGTAGGAATGTGGTGTTACAAGGTTTAAATTCAATCTAGAACAGTTAGATTCAAGGTAATGTCTTAAAAAATGTTGATCCCATAGTGGCTGCTTATGTGAATCAGGGATAGACAGTGATAATCACAGTGTACAACCTATGTGTTATGTGTTTACCTCTAACCTATAGGCTAGCTGTTACATCTCACTGGTGCAGCCATCCCCTTCATTCTCACAGTATTTCCATGTGTAGGTCAGAATGCTCTGATTTAGGATGTTAGTATCCAACATTTAGCACCTGAAGTTTGGTCTTCTCCCTTCAATAAATGGATTGCAGAAATATTTATTCACTGTACAATCATCCATACCACTTCTGAGGCAGTGTCAGATAGATTGTTTCAGATTAAATTGATATGAAACTGTCAAATCTTGGTCAGCAGTTGATGTTCCCATCTAATCATTTCTGTACAGTTGATGTCCATGTCTAATCTTTTCTGTACAGTTGATGTTCCCATCTAATCATTTCTGTACACTTGATGTCCATGTCTAATCTTTTCTGTGCAGTTGATGTTCCCATCTAATCGTTTCTGTACACTTGATGTCCATGTCTAATCTTTTCTGTGCAGTTGATGTTCCCGTCTAATCATTTCTGTACACTTGATGTCCATGTCTAATCTTTTCTGTACAGTTGATGTTCCCATCTAATCATTTCTGTACAGTTGATGTCCATGTCTAATCTTTTCTGTACAGTTGATGTTCCCATCTAATCATTTCTGTACACTTGATGTCCATGTCTAATCTTTTCTGTACAGTTGATGTTCCCGTCTAATCCGTTCTGTACAGTTGATGTCCCTGTCTAATCGTTTCTGTACAGTTGATGTTCCCGTCTAATCATTTCTGTACAGTTGATGTCCATGTCTAATCTTTTCTGTACAGTTGATGTTCCCATCTAATCATTTCTGTACACTTGATGTCCATGTCTAATCCTTTCTGTACAGTTGATGTCCCTGTCTAATCCTTTCTGTACAGTTGATGTTCCCGTCTAATCGTTTCTGTACACTTGATGTCCATGTCTAATCCTTTCTGTACAGTTGATGTCCCTGTCTAATCCTTTCTGTACAGTTGATGTCCCTGTCTAATCCTTTCTGTACAGTTGATGTTCCCGTCTAATCCTTTCTGTACAGTTGATGTTCCCGTCTAATCCTTTCTGTACAGTTGATGTTCCCGTCTAATCCTTTCTGTACAGTTGATGTTCCCGTCTAATCCTTTCTGTACAGTTGATGTCCCTGTCTAATCCTTTCTGTACAGTTGATGTCCCTGTCTAATCCTTTCTGTACAGTTGATGTCCCTGTCTAATCCGTTCTGTACAGTTGATGTCCCTGTCTAATCCTTTCTGTACAGTTGATGTCCATGTCTAATCCTTTCTGTACAGTTGATGTCCCTGTTTAATCCTTTCTGTACAGTTGATGTCTGTGTCTAATCCTTTCTGTACAGTTGATGTCCCTGTCTAATCCTTTCTGTACAGTTGATGTCCTGTCTAATCCTTTCTGTACAGTTGATGTTAATCCTTTCTGTACAGTTGATGTTCCATGTTTAATCCTTTCTGTACAGTTGATGTCCCTGTCTAATCCTTTCTGTACAGTTGATGTCCCTGTCTAATCCTTTCTGTACAGTTGATGTCCCTGTCTAATCCTTTCTGTACAGTTGATGTCCCTGTCTAATCCGTTCTGTACAGTTGATGTCCCTGTCTAATCCTTTCTGTACAGTTGATGTCCCTGTCTAATCCTTTCTGTACAGTTGATGTCTGTGTCTAATCCTTTCTGTACAGTTGATGTCCCTGTCTAATCCGTTCTGTACAGTTGATGTCCCTGTCTAATCCGTTCTGTACAGTTGATGTCCCTGTCTAATCCTTTCTGTACAGTTGATGTCCCTGTCTAATCCTTTCTGTACAGTTGATGTCCCTGTCTAATCCTTTCTGTACAGTTGATGTCCCTGTCTAATCCTTTCTGTACAGTTGATGTCCCTGTCTAATCCTTTCTGTACAGTTGATGTCCCTGTCTAATCCTTTATGTACAGTTGATGTCCCTGTCTAATCCTTTCTGTACAGTTGATGTCCCTGTCTAATCCTTTCTGTAGAGTTGATGCCCCTGTCTAATCCTTTCTGTACAGTTGATGTCCCTGTCTAATTCTTTCTGTACAGTTGATGTCCCTGTCTAATCCTTTCTGTACAGTTGATGTCCCTGTCTAATCCTTTCTGTACAGTTGATGTCCCTGTCTAATCCTTTCTGTACAGTTGATGTCCCTGTCTAATCCTTTCTGTACAGTTGATGTCCCTGTCTAATCCTTTCTGTACAGTTGATGTCCCTGTCTAATCCTTTCTGTACAGTTGATGTCCCTGTCTAATCCTTTCTGTACAGTTGATGTCCCTGTCTAATCCTTTCTGTACAGTTGATGATGTCCTTTCTGTACAGTTAATCCTTTCTGTGACTAATCCTTTCTGTACAGTTGATGTCCCTGTCTAATCCTTTCTGTACAGTTGATGTCTAATCCTTTCTGTGTTAATCCTTTCTGTACAGTTGATGTCCCTGTCTAATCTTTTCTGTACAGTTGATGTCCCTGTCTAATCCTTTCTGTACAGTTGATGTCCCTGTCTAATCCTTTCTTTACAGTTGATGTCCCTGTCTAATCCTTTCTGTACAGTTGATGTCCCTGTCTAATCCTTTCTGTACAGTTGATGTCCCTGTCTAATCCTTTCTGTACAGTTGATGTCCCTGTCTAATCCTTTCTGTACAGTTGATGTCCCTGTCTAATCCTTTCTGTACAGTTGATGTCCCTGTCTAATCCGTTCTGTACAGTTGATGTCCCTGTCTAATCCTTTCTGTACAGTTGATGTCCCTGTCTAATCCGTTCTGTACAGTTGATGTCCCTGTCTAATCCTTTCTGTACAGTTGATGTCAGTTGATGTCCCTGTCTAATCCTTTCTGTACAGTTAATGTCCCTGTCTAATCCTTTCCGTACAGTTGATGTCCCTGTTTAATCCTTTCTGTACAGTTGATGTCCCTGTCTAATCCTTTCTGTACAGTTGATGTCCCTGTCTAATCCTTTCTGTACAGTTGATGTCCCTGTCTAATCCTTTCTGTACAGTTGATGTCTGTGTCTAATCCTTTCTGTACAGTTGATGTCCCTGTTTAATCCTTTCTGTACAGTTGATGTCCCTGTCTAATCCTTTATGTACAGTTGATGTCTGTGTCTAATCCTTTATGTACAGTTGATGTCCCTGTTTAATCCTTTCTGTACAGTTGATGTCCCTGTTTAATCCTTTCTGTACAGTTGATGTCTGTGTCTAATCCTTTCTGTACAGTTGATGTCCCTGTCTAATCCTTTCTGTACAGTTGATGTCCCTGTCTAATCCTTTCTGTACAGTTGATGTCCCTGTCTAATCCTTTCTGTACAGTTGATGTCCCTGTCTAATCCTTTCTGTACAGTTGATGTCCCTGTCTAATCCTTTCTGTACAGTTGATGTCCCTGTCTAATCCTTTCTGTACAGTTGATGTCCCTGTCTAATCCTTTCTGTACAGTTGATGTCCCTGTCTAATCCTTTCTGTACAGTTGATGTCCCTGTCTAATCTTTTCTGTACAGTTGATGTCCCTGTCTAATCCTTTCTGTACAGTTGATGTCCCTGTTTAATCCTTTCTGTACAGTTGATGTCCCTGTTTAATCCTTTCTGTACAGTTGATGTCTGTGTCTAATCCTTTCTGTACAGTTGATGTCCCTGTTTAATCCTTTCTGTACAGTTGATGTCCCTGTTTAATCCTTTCTGTACAGTTGATGTCCCTGTTTAATCCTTTCTGTACAGTTGATGTCCCTGTTTAATCCTTTCTGTACAGTTGATGTCCCTGTTTAATCCTTTCTGTACAGTTGATGTCCCTGTTTAATCCTTTCTGTACAGTTGATGTCCCTGTCTAAGTTGATTGTATGCATGTGATGCCACTGTCAAGTTGATTGTTTGTTTCAATAGGTGGTGCCACTGTCTATATCTTTGTCAAATTAAGTTTTTTCCAGTTAAAAGTTTCAGCGAGTTTATTTACATTTAAATTTAAATTGTTAATGCCACTATCAATTCATTAATTTTCCGTTGTTGACACCATCAACTCACCTATATTGAATCGTGTAAGTTATTTGCATGCAGTTGATGCCACTGTCGGGTCACTTTGTGTAGTGAAAGTAACTGGTCTAATGTTGGGTCCAGCAATGCTTTATATTCTTTATATGTGAAAGTTTTTGATACAAGTGTATACAACAGAGACTACAACAGCTAGAAAAGGTAGGGTTTATATATACAACAGCTAGAAAAGGTAGGGTTTATATATACAGTAGTACAAGAGACTGCCAGTCAGAACACCCAGCTTACAATACAAGTGTCAGACTTACAACAGAGACTACAACACAGAGTTTATATATACAACAGCTAGAAAAGGTAGGGTTTATATATACAACAGCTAGAAAAGGTAGGGTTTATATATACAACAGCTAGAAAAGGTAGGGTTTATATATACAACAGCTAGAAAAGGTAGGGTTTATATATACAGTAGTACAAGAGACTGCCAGTCAGAACACCCAGCTTACAATACAAGTGTCAGACTTACAACAGAGACTACAACAGCTAGAAAAGGTAGGGTTTATATATACAACAGCTAGAAAAGGTAGGGTTTATATATACAACAGCTAGAAAAGGTAGGGTTTATATATACAACAGCTAGAAAAGGTAGGGTTTATATATACAACAGCTAGAAAAGGTAGGGTTTATATATATATAGCAACATTAATGTAGTGCTTACATATTACTGTGTTTCAGCAGTAAATATTCTGATCTCCTAACGACTACTTTTGTTTCCTGTTTAGAATAAACTGCCACATACACACATGCTCAATACATTGTCCCTGATGTTTTTCTATAGAGATTACAAAAAATAGTACAACAATCTTCTTACTCACCAGATATGTTGTCTCCTTCACCCCAATCACTTCCACATCTGATCCCAGCTCTCGCCCATTAAACAAGAAATTTTGCCCAATCAACGAGGGATTTCAACTTCAAACCCATCCACCAAGGGATTTCAACAATTTCAGCTCATTTAACTATCCAATAACAGATTTTAGATTCCAATCTTTTCCCCCTGACCAATTCACCATAGCTCACCTTCCTTGGAGTTTTTAAAATACATTCAATGTTAATTACTGGTGCTATCAATTGATCTAACTTTCATTTTGTAATCAAGTCCTGGTATTGTCATCTTAAGTGAAAGAGAGAGTTTTTGTTATGGAGATAAAGTTAATACAGAGATATACCACTACACAGGCCCTGTCAGTATGTCACACTGAAGGTACTTCTATGTAGTAAATTAATTCAATTTTAAATTCTGATTTGTGTATTAATCTTTAAGACAGCATGTGGTAGACACTGCTGGTGGACTTTTGTACAATGTTCAAGACAGCATGTGGTAGACACTGCTGGTGGACTTGAAGTTTGCCCTAACCGTCTTGTCACGTTTATTAAATTCGCTTGCATAGTGGCACGGTTCAGAAAATACACATGTACTTTAAGCTATTGTAAAATTGCCTGATGTATGAAAATTACGACATTCATCTTATAGGGTTACTGCACCTCCCTGTCTAGATCTTGACTTTTCTTTTGATCACTTTGGATTTTCCTTAATCGCTTCCTAGACTTCCAATTTTAGGCCCGTTGCATCACTGACGAATCCTAGGAGGACAAAGCAGCTGTATGATGCAGTTTAATTCATTGTCTGACTCCAATGTATCTCATTCTAAATTATGAAACGATGCTATTCTTTTGTGTGTCTTTTGTACAATCTTTAGATAAAGATGAAACAATATTGGAGAACCAACACATTTAAAGTCTCAGATTGGATATTTTATTTGGTGTTGTTGTTGAGATAATACACTATTTATCATAAAAACAGGTGACAGTTGGGTAGGACAATAGGAGTTGTCTTTCTTCGCTCATTGCTTTTCCATATCACATTGATTCTGTATAGTACAACATAAAGGGAGATAACTCTTTAACAATAGATTGTTGTAAGGGAAATAAGAGGGTAGTGCTTGTATAGATATACTGGATATGGTTTGACATTTTACATAAATATCTATACAAATGGTCTGTCATTGTAAGGTCACAGCTTAAAGTCAAGTTCAATTTCTGTATTTTCAAATACTGACAGAGTATCCAAACTGATTGGTATTATCACATGCTAATAACCGCCGTGAACTTTCATTTTTTTGGTTTACATTTCATGGTTTGAAGCTGAAGTATAATCCTTTCTCAGTAAATGAAAAAGTGATTAAAAACCATCAATGTGTTTTGTAACAAAAGCAATTGGTAATGTGATATAATAGGTATGTTGTGTGTGAATTCACTTATTACACAGGACAATATATTTCAAATGGCCTCAATCAAATTTTTCAAAAAGTGTAAATATTTTATCAATACATCAAAGAAGATTTAAATAACTTTGATGCATTGTGCTAGAGGCCAAAATATGATTGCAATATTTTTTTGGTCAAAAGCAATAGAGCGTAATTTTTGTCAGGTGCATTGAGTTTTTGATGTCACTCATTTTGATAACTTTTGATGTTAAAACTGAATCATCAACAGTTATCTTAAACAGGAATATTGATAAAAACATTTCTGCTGTTGGCAAATAATGCAGAAATCAAGCAACTGTGATTTTGATATTGGCCAAAATGTCTCTCATCTCCTTCACTAATAGATGACACTTAGTAATTAAACAACCTGGATTAAATCACGGCCTTGAAAAAGTAATGCCAATAAATTTTCACCATGAATTTGTGTGGAAGGACCAGTTCAACAGAATCTCAATCATCTACATGGACTTTACTTAAAATCTCATTACCTAAATGAGTTCTATTTTTAGCCTCTTTTATTGATTTTTGAACAAAAATATGATTCTTTGAGACAATTACAAGCTGTTCAAGGGAGTAATGATGGTAAAGAATTGCCCACTGTGGTCTATGTTCTGTAAAATTCATTAAATAAAAAATATATCCAAATTACTTGTACAGAAAGGTTTTTTTAAGTCATATCATATCACAATGCCATATCTTGCTTAATTGATTTTGAATCATATGGGAACTCGTATTGAGATGTGATTTTATGAGTATTTTTGGCTGTATTTTATGAGAAATTTCAGACCAGCTTTAATTGAAGCTGAAAGTCATTAGGGGATAAAATAGGAAGTTGTATAAATAATCACTGGTTTTCTGCTTCTCTGTGATCTTTGATTTAATGTTTAAAATGCCAGAATTCTCTTTATTACGTCAAGTAAATATATCACGAGGAGATTTATTCTGCAGGAGATGATAACTTTGGGAAATTAAAATGGCATTTTAAGTAGAAATGTTATTGAAAATGAAGCTGTCCCTTGGGTACAGTGATGTTACGTTAATAGTAATAGAATGAATTATCACGTTTTAACATATATGTAATAGCCATATCGTACATAACAGCCATATAATAAGTAATAGTATTACCAATACAACAAAAATCAGTTATAAAGATTATCACATTATTTGATGGGATAGAAGTGGAAATGGTTCTCTCCTGTGACTTCTGATAAACTAGATTATCTCTCAGCTTGCAACATTGACTGTGGGTATTAAATCTCTGATGTCAGAGGTCAGCATTAGTCTGTATAGCTTGGTCTGTATAGCTTGGTCTGTAGGTCAGCATTAGTCTACAACTTGGTCTGTAGGTCAGCATTAGTCTGTATAGCATGGTTTGTAGATCAGCATTAGTTTGTATAACTTGGTCTGTAGGTCAGCATTAGTCTGTATAGCTTGGTCTGTATAGCTTGGTCTGTAGGTTAGCATTAGTCTATATAGCTTGGTCTGTATAGCTTGGTCTGTAGGTCAGCATTAATCTACAACTTGGTCTGTAGGTCAGCATTAGTCTGTATAGCATGGTTTGTAGATCAGCATTAGTTTGTATAACTTGGTCTGTAGGTCAGCATTAGTCTGTATAGCTTGGTCTGTAGGTCAGCATTAGTCTGTATAGCTTGGTCTGTAGGTCAGCATTAGTCTGTATAGCTTGGTCTGTAGGTCAGCATTAGTCTGTATAGCTTGGTCTGTAGGTCAGCATTAGTCTGTATAGCTTGGTCTGTATAGCTTGGTCTGTAGGTTAGCATTAGTCTGTATAGCTTGGTCTGTAGGTCAGCATTAGTCTGTATAGCATGGTCTGTAGGTCAGCATTAGTCTGTATAACTTGGTCCATATGTCAACATTAGTCTGTACAAGTTGGTCTGTAGGTCAGCATTCGTCTGTATAGCTTGGTCTGTAGGTCAGCATTAGTCTGTATAGCTTGGTCTGTATAGCTTGGTCTGTAGGACAGTATTAGTCTGTATAGCTTGGTCTGTAGGTCAGCATTAGTCTGTATAGCTTGGTCTGTAGGTCAGCATTAGTCTGTATAGCTTGGTCTGTATAACTTGGTTTGTAGGTCAGCATTAGTCTGTTTAACTTGGTCTGTAGGTCAGCATTAGTCTGTATCGCTTGGTCTTTAGGTCAGCATTAGTCTGTTTAACTTGGTCTGTAGGTCAGCATTAGTCTGTATAGCTTGGTCTGTAGGTCAGCATTAGTCTGTACAACTTGGTTACCTTGGGTTGAGTTATCCTTTAGTAAGATTCTTGCTCTAAGATGTCTTCAGTATTTGAAAAAATGAGCTGTGTTTTATACAAGATTTAAACATGTGTTAAAGATAACAACAGATAGATCTGTATTGTTGGAGACTTTAAGTCTCGATTCTACTCCTTCACATATGTGTACAATATCAAAAACCCGAGGCTATCGAGGCATCTTTTACACTAATTCAGGAAATTCAAGTTTTTTGTGTCTATCTCTTAATTGATTGTGACGCCATGAATCGGCAGCATGTTCCCTAAATCCCCATCTATTGTATATTACTGGTTCTAAACATGCAATTTTCTTTCTTTTTTTCTTTTTTTCTGTATTTTCTACATAGCAATAAAGTTAAAGCTTTAATAAAAATGTTATGATTGCCATTTTTGTACACACTGTGAAGGAGGCAGTAAAAGCACAGTGTCAGAATCATGTAAAGCTAAAAACATGTTTCTGTTTTTTTCCCCTGTATAATTTGAAACATGATATTACCACCAAGAGTATTTCAAAAGCAGTGTGATATGGCACTACAAATGAATTTTTCTTTTTAACAATTTTTTTTTTCATCAGTTTTTTTTAAACACTATGATGATTTATTGGCTCTTTGTTATGCGAAACCTGTTGTTTTATCTGTATGAATAGATAAAATTGCTGGAGTATAATTATCATAAATACCACTCGGGATAGTACAGGCCTTTTTTCAAAATTGTATTCAAAGGAACTTTTGACTAATAAACCAGAGCAGGTGATTGCAATCTTTGTTGATGAAAACTCTGTGTGGATGTCCTGAATGTTGACATAATTATGTTCTGATAACATAACCCTTTATTTATTTTACAACAATTGCAAGAGGCGGTATTTAAATTTATATTTATGACTCTTGTTGGCCCAGATGTAAGTGTGCAAGGGGTCAGGGAAAAACCCATGTGGTCAGATAGGTGACCATTCTGGTGATCAAAA